TAAAAAAATTAGGAATTCCTAGATTTACTAGGAATTACTTTTAAAAACTAAGGAAGTTTGGGCCATAATGATAGGAAGTCTAAGGAATTTTTTTAGGAAATCGCAGAAAACTTTCTAGGAATTCCTAAGAAAAGTTCCTAGGAATTCCGTCTGCCAGATGACCTAGAAGCCAGCAAGTTAATTCCATCCCATTTTAAACATTCCATTTAAACAGCTCTTAAGTCATCTCACATCCCAAAGAAAAACAAATTAACATCAGAAATCGTTCTAAATTTGATTCTCAAATGCATTAATAATTCATGAAAAGCTCTTGAAGGAAAAATTTAATTTTCCTCAAATTTCATTAACATAAACAACAGCTTGAGAGTCTTTTAAGAACAAGAGGACGTAGTGAGAGGAGGAAAAAAAATCAATTTTCAAGACATTGACCTGTGACCCAAAATCTACTATCATCAATTTTCTCCCCTGCTCACATAATCACGCAATTTTCTATTCCTCACTTAATTATTCTGCACCTGCTGCATGGATATTTTTCATCATTTTTCTTTTCTCATTTTTTGTGCTTTGTTCTTGATCGTTCTACTTAAATCTCATAAATAATTTCACACTTCTCTTTTTTCTTTGCTTCCTTCCACTTCCAGTTATGTTTGTGTCTGTGGATTAAGTGAGTGCAAAAAAACTAATTTAGACGTGGCTACTTAAGACTGATGTGAGCAAATATTGCCATTAAACTGACGGGTAAAAACATTTGATGCTCAGTCAGACTAGCAAACTGATGGATAAGATTTGGATATTACCCCTTTTGGAAAAAAAGAGCTAAAAGATCCGAAACGCTGTGAAAAATGCTAGAAAAATTAGTCAATTAAGTTTCTTTTTCTTCTTCAATCGCTTTTCATGCTCAGCATTTTCATTTTCATTGCTGTAAACTTTGAGGTGGAAAGGAAAGTTTTGTGTGCACAATCATGAGAACTTCAACTTTTTCTCAATTCTTATTGTTTCTTTTGAACTTTTCTTTCGAGATTTTATTTTCTTCTCTTTTTTTTTATCTTTAAAAAGAAATTAAAGCAAAAGAGGAAAGGAAGTGATTCAGAGAGATGTAAAGATGGAATTGCATTTTTTGACTATTTTATTGTGTCTACAACTTTTTTATTGTCTGTGATACTATAGCAATTAATGGAGAAGCTGTTGTTTGTAGTTAAATGACCAACTAAGTAGTTTTTTTGTTGTTCCGATAACTTTAAGTACTTTATTGAGCTGTTTTAAAGGATTTTAAAGTAATCGTGGCTGCTAAAATCATTTTTAAAGGTTTTCGATCAAACGTTTTTAACTTTCAAAAATTCAATAAAAATTGAAAAACCAAACGAATCTTGAACGGAACCAATCAACTTTAATAGTCATCAAAAAATGATCTCACTCTTGCTTAAAACTCACAATTCCATCCTTATTTCAAATGAAAAAACTTTTTTCCAAATTTAAATTTTCAATTTTTTTTGCTTCTTCGTTGACAGTTTTGAAAAATTTTCTTCCTTCCTTTCCGGTTCAAAAAGAAAATTGAAAGAAATAAACTTTAATCTTATGCAAACTGGAAAAGTTTGAAATAATGAAAAATAAAAGAAAATCAAGCTGAGAGCATCAGTGGAAAGAGTTAAAAGTCATTCATCAATCTCATTTTATGTTTGCATTATATGAAAGCATCAATTATCCTTATATACAGTCAAAATGGCTGAAATTCTCCATCTCACTCATCTCTTCTTGCCTCACAATACACAGAAAAGTGCAATCAATTTTCATTTCCCTTGTCGAATGTTGGAAGTTGATGAATTATTTAAATTTTTCATTTTCCATCCTGCAACCATTCCATAAACTTTTTAGGAATTCCATGATGAATGAGGAGGTGATGGTGTGGTGGTGGATGGATGGATGATGATGATGGCGGTGCTTTATGAATAGAGCAAATTCCTATTCATCTGTATTAATAATGTCTTTGAAATTCCGTAGAAAATTGATGCCATTAAATTTTAACAAAATTCGTACAGAATTAAAATGAATTAATTAAAGTTTCATCAGGTTGTCAGGGATTTATGGGTTTTTATGGGTGTTTGAGGCTTCGGACGGGATGTTTTGTCCATTTTAATAAACTCGTGTGATGTTGATGAGACGAGATGACCTTAATATTTAAACTTTAGAATTTGTTGATGATTTAATGAGTTTTTGAAACTAATGAATCATTTGTCTATGACAGAGTGGCATTTATATGGGGCTTAAGGGGGTCAAAAGACAAGTTGTTGAAAAATTTTGTGACTTTAAAAGAAAACAAGCATTTACAGATAGATTTTGGCTCTTCAATGTTGAGAATCGACTCATCCCAGTCTGCTGTTTAACCACTCAGACACAGAGGCCCTACTATTGTTACAAAAATTAACATTCTAATTGATATATTCTCTAAACTTAGAAAATTAATCAATATGTTTTCGTAAAAGCTCTCAAAAAGTTCAAAAAATGATTTTGCATATATCAGAGCACTTCTTTATAAAATCGTCCTAAATTCACCAGATCTGATAAGAATAAATTCTATTCTCAGTTGTAATTTCGAAAAATTACAACAAATCCTACCACTTAGCAAATCCAAAGCAATCATCCTCAATAATTTAGATGGAATTAACACAGCAGAAAGATACACAAAAGTTTAATATTAAGAAGAAGATTGAAGAAAAAATTCACAGCACAGCAAGAAGAGAATCAATTCATATAAATCAATTGGCCCCATCTTAAGATGTTGCCAGCATGTCTGTCATTGTCAAATAAAAATCAAGCTTTAATTCAATCAATATTTATTTCGACTCCACTTCTCTTATCATGCTTATTTCGTCTTCTTATTCTCTTAAATAAGAAATGAATAAAAATAATAAAAAGTCATGGCTCGTATCAATTCCATAAGAGAGAGCACACACAATTCGATTAAGTTAAAGGCGAATTGAGTCAAAAACAATATTCATTTCATTTCTCTTGTGCTCCTTTTTATGCTTTTCATTACGATTTTCGTCGATGAAAAACAAAATTTAATTTAATAAAATGGAAGGAAGAAGACGCTTTACTTGACTTAATGCAATTTCTTGCTCTCTTCCGTTTTCTCTTTTACTCTATTTCCTTATAACAGAAAAAAAAAGTTTGACTTGCTTTGTATCGGAATTGCTTTTTTTGCTTTTGAAGTCTTTTCTTAAAGGTATTTTAACTTTTTTCCGATAAATCGAAAGGATGGATTCTTGGAATCAATGTTTGGAAAGTGAAATTGAGGGAATTTTTCAAAGCGGCCGTTCACTAATGACGTCCAAGGGGGGGGGGGGGGGTCAGACAGAAAAAAAACAATAGAAATTCCTGGAAATCCATTGTTCGTTTTTTAAAAATGTCTTTAATTTCGGACGTCATAATTGAACGGCCTCAAACCTGTTATGTTTTTTTTAAAGCTTCTTGATCGTTGTATTTTGGGTTTATTGAGAATGGATATACATTTGCAATATTATAAAAAGTTTCAATTTTTTTTGAATTAGTTTAAATTTTGAATTTTTTGGTTTATGATACCGTAAGTAGTTCAATTGTGGAACATCGGCACAACGATCATGAGATTAAAACCAAAAGAGTTCTTTCAGCTCACAAGCTTCTTTTGTAGCCTATAGAGAGTAATGGTATCAAAGAAATAGATCAAATCCTATTCAAAACTGAAGATCTTGATTTAAAAACTGATTTTAAACAGTTTCTTTTGTCTGTTGAATCCAGACGTGACTGTTTGAATCCACTAACATATATTTGGTTTTAACATCATTCAGAAAATAACACAAAATAATTAAATTAGAAATACAAAGACTAATTTTAAAATATGAAATTCCAATAACAATTTTGCGTACTCAAACCACATACACGTCATCTACTTAAAGGTGAGAAAAGAATCCCCAAGCGCTCTCACACGACATTCCACTCTAGAATAAATATAATAATTCACAAACACCCCCCTGAGTGATTCTCAATTGAACCTAAGCTCCTTCACTCTTCTGTTAAGCAGCACCCTCCCGAACTTCTCAAAAAAAGCGTGCTTTTAAATAAAAGGCACGAAATATTAAGAAAAATTAAAGTCTCGTAGGAAGCACGACGTAAATGAAAATTTATGAATGTTTTGTCTTCTTCTTAGTCCCCCCGTCAGCTTTATTATTGAATGAAATTTCTCGTGCTCTGTACTCATCCCTATTATTTTCTACTTAACTTTGATTTATGAATGATTTTCTGACTCTCGTACAAAAAAATAAAATAACATCGTAGACAACAGTTTTGAATATTAAATCACTTTTCACCAGTGCCAACACAAAAGATACATTTTGAGGAACTTTTACCCCATCCAACTGATGAAATTTTGAATAGCACAAATTGAAAAATTGGTACATAAACTTTATACAACATCAAATCTTATGCGCAACACTCTGATAAGACTTGCTTCTTTTTACAAGGATTTTGGTGTTTGTATTAATCATTTTCTTCTTATCGTTGCAGGTGTCTAAAAGTTTTTATTCAGCTTGTTGCTTTTTGTAAGGCGTAATCTTGGGAGTTTAATGATATTTAAATACATCTTGGTGGGTTCAAATAGATGTTTTGAGGTTTTTGACTCCACTTTGAGAATTTACATTGATATTTGGGTAAATTCAGTTCTAAATTGTAGTATCGAGATGCCTTAGTCAGCTGACATAACCTTCCTTATTATGCTATGCTATATTCGTCCAATGATTAAATATTTCTCACATTACATGACTGAAAAAAATTAAAGTAATGTGTTCTATGAAGCAATTGCCTTGTTGTAGCTGAGTTAGTAATAAGTATGTAAAATCCAATTTCGATAACTATATAGTTTGTTCAAAATAAGTAACCAAAATTAAGGACAGCCATTCGAAAAATTCTACTTGCTGGAAATTTTTGGTTCAGTTTTAGAGCCAGTTGAAATTTAAAGTCGACAAGTCATGGATTCATATTTTAATTTAATTGTCAGATTCTCCAATTTTATGGGATATGACATTTCTAACAAGTTCCAGTCAAACCCAATCATCAGGATTGTTCTGTTGATTTACAAGACTTTAGTCTTCATTCTATTACTGCTTGTTGTTTTACAAAGTTTTTCAAATGCATTTATGAAGAGCTTTAAGACATTTAATGACTTGAAATCAGCTATGTCTGCAATTTTTGGAATTAGAGGCTTGCTGATGAACATTTACCTGATTATAAATTTTAACAAATGTGCGAAGTTAATGGAAAGAATGAAAAAATCAGACATTCTGACTAAGGAACATGAAAAGAATCAAGCGTTATTTAAAACAGCAAAAAGAGTTGGATTGTCAATTTTTATATGCAATATTGTATCAATTTGGTCTTATTCTATTGGTGGATATATAGAGATCATCAAGAGTCTTTTTACAGGTCAACAACCAAATCCAGAAGTTGTGTTTATTTACGAAATATTTTGGCCATTTGATCCATCTGACTATCTCCCATGGACACTCTACTGGTTTTCGTTTGCTTTACATTATTGGCAATGGTCTTGTGTTCTTGTAAACTTTGTGATCTTATACATTACAGTTTATTTGACTGGATCTTTCAACAATCTTCAAACAGAACTTGAAGAAATCATTAATGGAAGTGACATTAGATCAGTGAATGGGACAAAAGATATGATTAGAAATTTTATTGACAGACACAATGAAGCTACAAGATATGCTGAAGAATTAAAATCATTAGCAGGGTTTCCGATTATCATTTTTATTGGAGAAGCTTCATTAATGATTTGCTTTCTTGGATTTAGTGTTCTTGTAAGTGATTGGAGCTTGTAATATTAAAGCACATCTGGCTTATCCACTGATTCATATTAAGATGATCCCTGGATGTTCCTATTATTGCAGGTTGCTGATGCTTCAATGATGATGATCTCTATAATTGCTTTATGCAATCATTTAGTGGATATATTTATCATATTTTGGGCAAGTGACATCCTTAAGGAGTCGGTAAATTCTTGTAAACTTGAAAATTCCGAAGAATAATTTCGAATTTTTTATAGAGTCTAGGAATTATGGACACAATTAGTTTATCTAGTTATTACAAACTTGATAAAACATTGAAAAAGCAATTGATTTTAATAATGATAGCAGCAAAGAAGCCCAAAAAACTCTCAGGATTAGGATTTTTTGATTTAGAGCTTGAGAAGTACACAACGGTAAGAAATTTTGACAAAGTTACAGGATGGACTGTTAAAAATACGTATAAATCTACAGATAATTTCAACTGCATTCTCGTATTTTACTTTGATGAAGCAATTCTATTAATTTAGCAGCTGTTTGAGATGAATCTTTTATTCTTCATTTTTTTATCAGCACAAACTCATTAAATTTCTCAAATAAAAATCTTAATGCTTGTGATAAAGGTCTTTGAATTGTGAATTTAATTTAAATTTTGAATAAAACGAAACTTAAGGATATAATTGGATAAGTATAATCCAAGGAATTCCTTTCATCACTAGTTTTGATTTAGTTTATTTATAAATCAATTTTCACAGCAGTTGTAATTCTTTTTCCTCACACCTAGTAAATCCAAGAACTAAACTATGAAACAAATATGAGCATATTCCTGGAAAACTAGTCACCACAATTTCCGTACGTAATTCGTGGTTAGCTTTTAGTGATAAAATTTAATTATAAAATATTCGGTTTATAAAAAGCAATAAAACATTTTTAAGGCATTACAGTAAGTTGAACGTTTCAATCGATAAGTCATGGATTCATTCTTTAATTCAGTTGAGAGATGCTCACTTATGTTGGGCTTTGATATATCCAAAAAACATCAATCGAACTCAATTATTAAGATTTTGCTGACAATTTATAAAGGATTAATCTTCATTCTGATGCTACTTGTTCTTATACAGAACTTCTTTAATGTGTTTATTAAAAGCTTTAAACATTTTGATGATTTTCGATCGTTAATGTCTGGTTTGGTTGGATTAAGATCCATTTTGATGAATTTTTACATGATCAGAAATTTGGACACGATTATGAAGCTAATTGAGAAATTGAAAAATGCTAATTCTGGTATACAGGATCATGATCGAAATCAAAAGCTTTTCAAAAATGGGAAAAACATGGCAATTTATGTGTTTGTAGCCAACATTATATCAACTTGGACATACAGTATAAGCGGATATATTGAGATAATTTCCTGCTTGTTTACTGGAAGAGACCCAAATCCGGCACTTGTTTTTACATATGAACTGTATTGGCCATTTAATCCCTCGAACTACCTTCCATGGACACTGTTTTGGTTCTCGTTTGCATCTATTTATTGGATTTGGTCGAGTGGTCTTGTGAATCTTGTGATTTTATACATTTCTGTCTATATTACTGGATGCTTTAACAATCTTCAAGCTGAAATCATAGAAATTGTCAATGGATGTGAATCTAGATCAGCAAGTGATACAAGAAAAATGTTTAAACATTTTATTGACAGACATAACGAAATAACGAGTTGCATGGATGATTTAATATCTTTCGCTGGATTTCCGATTATAATTTTTATTGGACAAGCATCTATAATGATCTGTTTTCTTGGAATGTATGCGATTGTAAGTATTTGATCCTTAACATTAGAATTGTTTAAATTTTATGATTGTTGATATTTAAGATGGGAGACATTTCAATTTTATTCGTGTCTGGAATTGGTATGGTTATGCATTTGTTGGATATATTTACAGTATTTTGGGCTGGTGATATTCTTAATGAATCAGTAAGTATGGCTTTATTATGATTCTCAAGCATTTGATTATTTTGTCTAATTCTATTAATTCATTTTTCAGACTTTAGGTGTCATGGATGCGATTGGTTCATCTGATTTCTACAAACTGGACAATTGCTTCAAAAAACAACTAATACTCATATTGAAAATGGCTACTAAACCTAAGAAATTATCGGGATTAGGATTTTTCGAATTGGAGCTTGAAAAATTTACAACAGTAAGGAATTTTAAAACTTTAATTTAAATTCAAATTAAGATTTTTTAATTTTTGCAGGTCATATCTTCTGCATATTCTTATTTTACATTGATTAAGCAATTTTATTAGAGCAAATATAACTCAAGAAAATGGATGTTTTAAATTTGTAATTTATTTCAACTAGTCAACGCTTATGGATGATATCATATGATTTATTAATGAAGCAATTTCACAAACGATAATTTAAGAATTGTAAAATAAAACTGTCATCCTTACCAGGAAATACAAATAAATTGTAAGATTCAAATGTATAATCAATCATGGAAATCTTATGATTCAGTTTTCACTTAATTGAATAAATTTTAGGTTAATTCATGGACAGTGACTTGTGAACTCTATTTGCAAGTTTACAGAGACGAAAAACTATTTAAATTTCCATAACAAGTTTTGTTTAATAATTGTTCAGCTATAGATTTTATCAATTCATTCGTCAAATTCTTTCAAATTTAATGACATGATACATCTACTAAATACCAGACCTAATTGTTGCAATACTATTGATATTTATTTGTCTGGCCCTAATAAATAAAATGAATTTCAATGTCCAAATCATGCCTGAAACAAGGAATTTTCTCAGATTCATATTTACGTTACAGGAGATAATTAAAGGAAAATTATGTAAATAGACCTTTATGGATATTTTAAATGACATGTAGACCTTCTATTCCTTTTATGTTGTTGTAATTGCTGATAATTTTTTATCAACATAAAATTTTTCCCTTTCTATTTCAGTCGAGTTTATTGTGCTATATTTTCAAAAATTGATTCTTAATTATTAATGATGTTTGTTTTGATGAGTTGTATACTAAATTTGACTATATATGCCATAGTAAAAACAAACAGCTCCCAAAATTCTTATCAATACATATTTTTCTGTCAATCCTTAAAGAAGCGAAGAAAGCATGAAGAAATTCTTTTCCAAAAACCATCAAATTCAAGAATTTGATCCAAAAGTAACTGAAACTGTAAAGTTTAAGAAGGAAAACTCAGCAATCGAAAGCTATTATCGTCTCATCATAAAGATTTTCCTAGTCATTGGATTTGACTTTGATGGAAAGTATCAAAAATCAAGAAAAGTGTCCTTTGGACTGAAGCTGATTAAGCTAATCAACATGATTTGCATATTTCTTGCAACATTTCAATGTCTGACTTACTTCTTCACAGAAAATTTGAGTGATGTTGGAACTTTAGGATCCGGAACTTTTGGACTTTACAGTGTTCAGACGATTGTGAAGATTTTTGTGTATTTTGCAGCTATTGACAAATTTCATCAATTGACAATGGATGTGATTACAACTTACAGGAAGTTCAAGCCCAGTGAAAATGATGAGAAATTTTTCCGAACAGCCTACAAAGTTTGCCCAAAAATTTTCTTCTTCAATGTCTTTAACTTGCTGTTTTACTCATTGACAGGATTAGTCAGGATAGGAATTGCAACATACATGGGAACTTCAGTTGGATCTGTATTTCCATATGAAGCTTATTGGTCATTTGATCCATATGAATATCTGCCATGGACGTTATTTTACAATGCATACACAAATGTCATGACTGATTTCGTATCAATGATTTGTGAGCAACTTTTTGTCTTTGTTGTGTCACATATGGTTGTGAGTTTTGAAAGACTTGAAGATGAACTTGTTGAGATCATTCAACAAATTGACACTGTACCATCGGATGTCATCAAGAGCAAGTTACCAAGATGTATCGATCTTCATAATGAACTTATTGAACATTCTAAAGTTGTCAATTCCTTATTTGGAATTTCATTGCTTGGATTTTTGATTCAATCTTATTGGACGATCTGCTACCTCATTTTTCTGACAACAAGCAAGTTCTCTGACTTTGCTATTCTCTCAGCATTCGCACTCGTAAATGTATCTGTTCAGATTTTAATGCTAGCTTATTTTGCTGAAAAATTGAAGGAAAAGGTGAGGAAAATTTTTTGCGGAAATTCTTATTCATGCCTTAATGTTGTCTAATTTTCAGAGCCTGAATTTATCCGACAAACTGTCATCATGTAGTGACAAAAATATTGACAAATCTCTGGCAAAATATTTTATTTTAATGATTCAAGTGTCAAATCAGCCGATAAACTTGACAGCTTCTGGATTTTTCAAGCTTGATTTGCCAACATTTACAACGGTGAGTTCTATTGGATATCCAACTTCTCACTTTTTTGTGGGATATGTCTCGCTATTTCGGAAAAAGTCTATGAACTGCCTAATAATCTTGATTTTTTTGGGTTTATTTGTAGATTGTTAACACTGCATACTCCTATTTTGCTATTTTAAGACAAGCATACAAAGGATAAATAAATAATACAATACTAAGCAATATTAAGCAACTTATAGTCGAGGTTACTGAGGCTCGTCCCTAGATACCTTTGTTACAGTCATATTTTATTCATATCATAAACCTTAAGTGTAGTTCAGCAATTTTGGTTCAAGGTTAGGATGCATCGGCTAGTTCTTGAAGCCATCCCCTGATCATTTTTGTGGGAACTAAACTTTATAAAAAGCAATTAATCAAACCAATTTATATTTATATACAACATGAGCTGCTTTATACAAAATTACTGCCACAATCGATCACACAAATAAATTTTAAAATGCTATCCTTAATTCCTCCTTAGTTTATTTTGGCTGTATGCTGTGCCGCATTTAGCTTGATGCTCAATAACACATTTATTCAAATCTATATCATAAGCCAGCAAATGAGGACAGTTTTGTACCATTCGACTTCCATTTTTCTGACAGAAAATAAATTGTCTGCAATCGAACGGATGAGGAACAGTTCCTATAGTATTTTGACAATCAGGCAGTGATGGTTGGCTTGGAGCAATTGAAGGCTGAAAAATAAAATTTTTGATAATTCAATCTTGACATTATTTTTTTCCATTAACTCACATCACACTGAGCATTAGCTGGAGTGTCACAATGTCCCATGGCATGATTCCAATGTTGTCCAGGAGCACAAGACCACTGTGCTGGCCATCCACTCAAGCAAATAAAGTAGTCACTACAACTTTCACCCGGTAAAAAGACGACTTCATATGGATCTGAAGGACATTCTCCTTCCCAAGTTTCATTTTCGACCCAATGCAAACATATACCTTCCTCCTCACTCATACACATAAGATATTCCCAGTCGAAAATTGGAGTATCTTCTTCACAAAACCATTCAGCAAGATTTCCATCATCATCACAGTAATAGAATGAATCACATTCGGACTCATGTGAAAATCTTCCATCGAAATTATCGATGCACCAGTCATGCTGATAGGCACGAACCTGTGCTGGTCTCACTTTTCCATAGTTTTGAGGCAATGTTGACGATTGACGACGTTTAATTTGCATTTGTTGTTGTCTTGTTCGTACTTTAGGTTCAACTTTATTTAACACTCTTGCTGGTGGTTTCTTGTAACTCCTTTTTGCTGGTGTAGTAGTTCCTAGACGATTCTGTGCATCCACATAGTTAATATATAAAATCACAAGACACAAACAACTTAAAATAAATATTTTTGACATTTTCCTTCGAACGCGTGTATTCACGACAAAATTCAAGTTTACAATAAATTTTTTAGTGCCATCAGCTGTCGCTTTTATAACACTTTGAACATCGATCAATTAAAAAATTATCAACATGCATTCGAAGAAATTGTTCATTGTTGAATATCTCTTTAAAGATTGCGATCATTTTTATTTTCCAGGTGATCTGTCATTTTTTTTTGTGGCACTTCCTATACTTATCAATTACTTTATCTCGCTTATCAATTGCGTATTGATTGATATTTGCACAAAATAATGTACTGCTCGAGATAGATTGTGTGCAACTGTGCGAATGTTATTGATGTCATTATATTTGTTATTGTATGACTTTATTGTTTGGGTTTTCAGGTACACATGTTTATTTTGCTATGACTAAGTGAATTCCAAAGAATTTGTTCGAGACTTGTAGATAGTAAATTAAAAGAATTTTTATTTTTTTGAAGGTGCTACTGTGGGATGATGTTATAGATTCTCGATAAATTTGAAAATGTTTTTTATTTTTTTTATTTTTGAAGAAAATTGATAAATCAAAAGTCTGAAAGGTTCACGTGAAGAAATGATAACAATGTTTACAATTTCAGCTGAATAAATTTTACCTTATGCTTGAGAATTGTTAAATGGAGTGTCGAAATTCTTCGGAGTAAAAGAAATCATCTAATTTTGATTCCTTCGATTCCTTAAATATTGTAAAATTACATTGAGTACAGTCCATTCATTATTAAGAATTTTGAGCTACAGTTTACTCCAGTCACTACTTAACGTACTTACTTCCTTGACTGGGGCACACTTGGGCCCATTGCCGCGTTCAGAAATTGTCTAAACTTCGGGATATAAAGGACTCTAGTGATCTTATCAACACATCCAATACAGGTGATCTTTAGTCTTCCTCTTGATCTCTTGCCATCTATAAAGTCTGCATGTCACTCTAAGTACTGGGCCATCTTCTGTACGTCTAAACACATGTTTAGCCTATCTCAAGCCAGTCACTACTTTACAGTTCTTTAATTTATCCTCAAACTGCTTTGTTGACCTCATTTCAATTTCCACGCGAGTCTAATCGATTCCTTAACATACGCAAATATTCTTATTTTTAGAATAATTTTATTTTTATCAACTGTTGCATGACACCAAATTATTCCATTGCTTTTTATTTTCATTGCTGCTTAATCAATTCACCTCAACAATTAACCTCGATTTTCCTTTAGTAAAAGATTTGTTGAAAGAATGAAGAAGAAAATGAAAGTTTTACTTATCATAAAGCAAAGGCATGAACAACAATAACAAATGGAAGAACAGAAATAAATTTGCATGTTGAAAGTCATTTTTTATAAAACTCTTTAGTTGACTTTAACCTTTCCGCACAATTATGAGGCTATTTGACATGCTTTTTTGCTTCCTTTTTGGTTCTCATTTTCGTTTCTATTTCTTGTGGGGGAACTTTCAACATTTAACATGAGAAAATGAGTTTAATTTTATGGTTTAATGAAGAAATTTTTGGAATAAAGGTAGGTTAACATCAGGAAGTTATTTATCACTGTTTTAGGATAGTCGTGTGATTAAAGTAAGGAATGGATTTATTTCCCCTTGAAAAAAGAGTGTATATCCATTAATTGCTTTCTTCATTGCAATTATCATGTAATTTAAGGCTTCAGAATTTCAATTTCATTTCCATATTTCATTTGTATCATATCAGTGATAAGTAATAGTTAGATGTGGTGTGGACACGAAACAAGGGGAACTTCACATTGAAAGCAGAAAACTTGCTTTAATCAGGATAATAGGATCACAGCTAAAGTGGTTCGGTGGCGTAATGGTTTAGTATTTCTGTACCTAATTATTGCAATACTGACACAGCGATCATGGGTTCGAAACTCGGCATGGGAAAATTTTCACTTGTGCTTTTTCTAGTCATATGGACTGGAAATGAGGCTCACAGCCTTCCTTTATAGGCTACAGACAGAAATGTCAATAAAGGAGTGATTCGGATCGCACTATAAACTTGTAGCTCTAGGTTTGAGCGGAGGTTCTGGTGAACACTCTCTCGTTAAACTTTCATTAACCTTGTAACTCGGATCTTAAGGTCTGAAGAATGTTAATGCAAGGCCATAGAACTCCTTGCACTATGTCTACAATCACTACTTTTTTACTCAACTTTATAAATTTTTACTTATGTTTCAGTACACTTACTATACAATGTATCACAATCACTGCAATTACTAAACTTTACTGCACTTAACTCTTTTTTACTACTCTTTACTTTACTTAAGTACATTAACCTATACTTTACTACACTTTACTTTACTTTACTTTACTTTAGTATACTTAAGTACATTTTGCTTAACTTTACTACCCTTTACTACACTTTAGTGCACTTTACTCGTACTTTTCTGTACTTTATTTTTAATCAAATTAATTAGTGCATAATTTCAATCTAAATAGTTATAGGCCTCTTAAACATGTGGTCCATTAATACGTTGTAATCATACTTTCAAAAAACAAAAAATAAAATAAAAGATTTTGCAATCATTATAAAAATTTAAAAGAAAATGTTTAAAAACTTAACTAAAGGTTATAGAATTTAAAATATTATTTTTTTATTTTTTTATTATTCTATCATTTTAAACCATATTTAGCTGATGGAAAAGAAAGAGCTTACAAAAACATAAAGCACTAATGCTACTAAGGCAGAAATAGTTTCATTCATGTCAAAGAAATTTCTAATTGATACCTTTAGTTTGTAAGGAAATTTGTCAAAAATAAAATAAAAGTATAGTATAGAAAAATCGAAAAATTTAAAAAAAAATCTAAAATGTTGTGCTTTTGTTTTTAAAAATGAGTAATTTTAATTGAAAAAATTTTTAAAAAGTTATGAAAAATTTTAATTCGAATTGACTCGAATTTGATTTTTTCACGTAAGCTTATATTAAAAAAACTAATGAGGACGATTTGTGTTAAGTTTAAATTTTTAAAAAAAGCTATAAATACAAGCTTCATATAAATTAGTTTCAATTTATTTGCATTTCGAAATTGAATGAAGGGACTGTAGAAAAACAATATTTTAAATTTATTTTGTAATAATATGTTGGCTTTTTATTTCAACAAGATTAACTTTCCAAAAAAAACTTTTTAAAAATATATATCAAAAGTGTTGATAACATTTAATTTTTTCTAAAACCAACAATATCAAAAACATTGATTCTCACTATTCTTTCGTTACCATTCTTCGTAATTAGGAAGGCATCCTTAATGTTGAAATATTTGAATTTAGTTCAATAGTTTTATTTTTTACATGAGAAAAGCTTCATTTATATTTACATTTTAAATATATTTTATATATAAAATTTCAAATAATAAGCGGTTCTTAAGTTGCGATAATATTGACTATTTATAAATAAATTGAATGGTAAAATAAACATTACTTCAAAATTAATTCAAAATCAACTTTAAACATTTTGGTTTTTAAAGTTTTAAACAGTTTTATGTTGCTGCACTTTCTATACTTTTACTACACTTGCTATACTCTCACTATACTGACTATACTTTTACAACACTTTACTACACTTAAACTACACTTGCTACACTTTTGCTACACTTTGCTACATTCTACTATGCTTTGGTTAACTTTGCTTCACTTTACAATATTTAACTATACTTTGCTCATGTTAACTTAATTTTGCGCAATAGTTTGTATACGTTACTGCACAATGCTCACTCACGGGTATACTATTTTGGGAGTTCTATGGCCTTGTGTTAATGTTTATTTTTTTAAAATCATTATTAGTGAGTATTCTACTGCGACTGCAGGTTGATGCAGATAAGCTTTTTAGGTTTTAAGTTTAAAGTTTTTTTTTTGACAAGAGATGGTGAGGCATAAATTGTCATGTTTTCACCCATTACGTAATAAGTATGTACTAATGTACCCAAACGAGCCATCACAAATGATTGGCGATCTACCAAAAAAATCTCACTATTTAAAAAAATAATATTAACTGACCAAAATCCCCGTTATGAGTTCAACAACACGAAACAATTCTTTCCACAGGAAGCATTTAATATTAATATTGTATATGAGAAATGTTTCTTTTCCGGTCGACCTACAAAACTATTATCATCATGTCAAATAGTAAAAAAGCTTTTACAAAAAAAAATCTCTCAATGAGGCAAAAAAAATTGTTTTTATTCTTCTGTGAAAATGCTTATGGGGCGAAACTTTTCTTTGCACAAAATAACTAATAATTTACCTTGTAGAATTGTTTACTAATTTTTTTTGTGGTGTACCGTCTGTAATGCTCATGTACAATGAGGGTAGAAAAAAAAATTCTGAGAAAAATCTTGATAAATTTTCATTTTTCTAACAAAAAAATAGCAGCTGAGTCGGATGGCAACACAAGATACACAAATTTACTCTCGGAAAAATGGTAAAATTCTATGCTGAACAGCAAACCACAAAAGTAACAATTTTAACATTTCACACACAAGTGTTATTTATTAATTTCAATTTAATTTTTCGTATAGAAAAACGGCAGAAGGTGTGAATGTGGAGGTCGAGGGATGAAGAACATTTGTTCTTGTACAACACGTCAGGAATGTCATGCATAATTTGTTTTCGTCATGTGAAAATGAACTCAACAACTCAAATTCATTTCAATTTATGTGAATAATAATGTTTATGCTTTTCTGCTTTGCTGTTTCTTTTGTTTTAATTGTGATTGAAGGGAAGTTTTTCTTTTGGCTCAAATCGTGGCTTCTTTTTGGGAAAATAATGTTTTACTTTGTTTATTTAGGAAAGTCGAGAAGGTAATTCTGATTTGAGGACATTTAAAGCGCATTTATGATCATTGAATTTATGGATCTTATCAGTGAATAACCTAAAATCTGATCTTAAAGTTTTTCAGGAACAACTCAAAATTAAACCCGTACCTAGCTCTAAACTTGCTCACAAAAATTTAATTAAACAAATTTTTAAAAACATTTTTCATAATGAGTGAAGACTTTTTTTTGATGAAATCGACCACACAGACAATAAAAGAAAAACAAAAAAAAATGTGAGAAAAACTTTTTTTTTCTAGCAACAAATTCGTTTCCTTTCTGTTATGTCTGGAAAGTTTCTGGCAATAAATAAAAAGTTGCTTTTTTTTCATTCATGTTGCAGATTTTTTTTTTGTTATCGCAGATTTTGTTCTGTTTCTGGGTGTTAATTAGCACTTGCTTTTTTCACTTAATACTTTAAAATTTGGCTTTTGGTGTTTTGTTTGGTATGCGATGAATTGAGAGGAAACAAAGAAGTTTTTGGATTGCATACATTTTAGGCGAAATACTTTTTGTGCATTTTTGTTTTAAAAAAAAATATTTGTAAATTTAAAAAAATAATAAAGCAAATTAAGATTTTATCAAAATTTAACGTCTTTTTTCATCAAACAACATCGTTGTATTCGTCTAATACTGATGTGAAAAATACATGTTCGCAAATTTATCGAAAATCTATTGGTGCTTTAATTAGTCATTATGTTTAAACTTAGAGATTCTTAAACTGTGTACCATAGTTCACTAGTATGGCATCCCTCCAATAAATGAACGACCTCGGAGTGTGAAAAAAACCAGATGTAAATTAGTCAAATCACTTTAATACCTTGCAATTAATTCCGCGCAAGAAAAATTGAGTTATAAAAAAAATTTCCAACCAATAAATCGCTAGCGGAAGTGATTCTACAAAAAAATTATTTCTGTGCAATGCTTTGAATGTTTGTGTTATTTTAATTTTAATTGCTTGAGTATTCATTCGTTATGTGGGTGGATTATATATAGATATACATAAAGAACGGATTAGTAATTAAATAAAAAATAAAGTTATGGTGCGAAAAGAAAATTTATGGATGTGAAATTTTCATTTTTTTTACGAGGAACTCCACTGTTGTTGAATAAAATGATTTAAAATGCGAATCAGCAAGAAGGAAAGGCGAAATAAAAAAAAAAGGAAAATGGATGGAAAATAAACAACCGATTAACATTAAATTTGCATATTTTATATCCAGCAAGCAGGCGAAGAAGAATCCTCACAAATGCTGGCACTGAATTGAATTTCTATGATAATTTTCATCCATATTTTATGGATTTTTCTTGCCACAATTCTCTAATTTAGTGTTTTTAATTGCAAAAATACTCACATTTTTATGTTCTGGTGCCAAAACATCCCACATTGATGCGACTATCTTCGAAACCTCACCGAATGATGCGTTCGGATTTTGTCCCTTTATTGCTGCTTGTGTATCACGAAAGAATAATGCATATGCTGATACGGGCCTGCAATAATGAAAAAACATTTTTTGAATGTAAATGGATATTAGCATGCGACCAAATGAAATGAAGATTGTCTTCTGAATTGAGTCATAATTGCCTTGCACATTCATACAAACAATAGCACCTTAATTAACTTTATCAACTTGAATATTAATTAGTTACGTTAAGTATCAATTTGTATGCTGTTGATGTAATTGCCAATAGAAAATTATACTCGGTTGGGCATTTTATGTCTGTTGATGAAGATTTTCATTTCTTTTTACTGCTTTTTACATGTAGTTTTTTTTCCTTTGTGCTTCATAATTTGGAGATTCTTAATTAAAGACAGAAAACTAGACAAGTTGAAGAGCTAGTGATAATCGATTTTTTAGAATTGACATTTTTTGGATTAAAAGTTTTTATTAATTTTATAAGTTTTTAAATTTTAATCCAGAGTTATCGATGATTTTGTAATTTTTTGATGGACTTCTCAGATTTTCCACTTCAAAAAGTTAAATTGATTTAAATTAAACAATATTGTTTACTTGATAGCTTTTATGATAGAATCTTACTTAAAAAAGCAGTAAAAAATATATTTAAGAATATTAAAGAAAGTTTGTTTACCACAAATCTATAAAAATCACAAAATTTCAATCATATCAACTCCTCAACCAAATGACAGTCAACACAACCTTTTTCTTTTTCAACACACCACAAGATTCCCTACTTCTTATTTAATCAATTTGCAAAACGTAAATGAGATTAGATTATATAGAGTCTAATTAAATATTTGCATGCAATTTAGATTTCTTCATCATGTGCCTCACATTATGTTCCAAAATCCTTCCTCGAGTTTCACCTTTTCATTTCCAAAAATGAACTTTTAATTGAATTAAATCAGAAAATTAATTATAGATTCTTATTCTGCCTGCAAAAATGAGCACAATTAAACGAAACATGACTTTGACTTAAAGTCAAATCATTTTGATTAACCGCCCACAACGTCGTGACTGCATTTCTCATTTTCAGACGAATTCTTCTCACATTAAAGAAGAAGATGAAGAACAACAATAAAACTGCCAGACATCAGTTGCAGTTAAAGTCATGAAACAGTATAAATTGCTTGTGGCAAGGATATCACAGATTCTATCTTTTACTCATTTACTTTACTTTGGATTACTGTGTTTTTATATCTTTTTGATATTTTCTTTATATGGAGAGGGGTGTCTAGTAATAAAATTGAATATTAGTTTAAGTTCTTTTTTGTTTTAAATTTTTAAATTTTTTTTAAATAACAGTCATTTGAGATTCACAATTTATTTTTGAAGTTTATTGAATGTAGTTTCACACCCTTTTTCGTTCAGATTTGATGAAAAAAATCTTAATTAGTATAACTAGTTCAAGATCAGATCAACAACAATCTCCGATTTCAATCAAGCATATTGAATAAGATCCATAAAGTTTATAACTCATTATTTAACTTTCTTCGACAAAAAGAAACCGGCATCAATTTTTCCAGATGCGTTAGTTCCACAGAACAAGTTTTGACAACTCTGATCAAATTTAATTAACTATCGGTCTCTTTCACTAAAGTGGATTATCCTCGATTTTGGATTATCCACTTCAGTTTTTTGGAAATATCTCCAGGCGCTTAAGGTTATTAAGAGATCTAATGTGTGATCTAGTAAGAGTACTTTGCTACTTAAATTAACATATACTTTGAATTTTTCTTCATCAGTTTGAGAATTATAGCAAAAATCGAAGTTAATCTACTAGATTTGGCTAGAAAATTGAATAATTAATATTTCTTAACGAAAAGCAAAAGTTTAAAGTGTACAGAAATTTCAGGCATAGTTCACTCTATTATAATCCAAAATTAGAAATACCACACCTCCCATAAAGTTTAAGATATTTGCAAAAAACTGAAGTGGATAATCCGAAATCGAGGATAATCCACTTGAGTGAAACAGGCGCAAGATATCATTTCTAATTAATTCAATTGAGAAAAGAACTTTTAATCTTACTTTTGTGGTTCGTTTGGATCCTTCTTCTTTTTCTTTGCTGGTGCTTTAGTTGCCTTCTTTGTCGCACCTTTAGCTATGTCAGGCTCCTTTGATTGAGTAAGACTCAAAGCATTCTGTAATGAAAATGAGATGATGTAATTTCATTAAATTCAATTCAATGACATTGCCATCTATTTTAATCATTTACAATTGAGAGTAAAAAAAAATATTAAAAATTGCAATGAGGAGATTCCAATTTATGAAAGGAAAAAAAAACTGGCATCAGAAATGTCCATAAATCATAATCAACGCAATAAATTTTCATTAGTTTCATTGCACGTTTGCAACATAAATTCCAATGGGCAGCGAAGCAATCTCTTTTTTTGCTCTGTGTGTGTCTCTCTCTAGCTTGCTTCTTCTCTGTCTCTTCGCTGTAATGACTTTTTGCTTTGCTTTGCTTGTCTCATTTTTATTTCTCTCTCCTCAATGACTTTAAATGTGTTATGCGAAAATTTTTTTTTCGTGCGTGTTTTAAATTTTTTATAGAATTTTGTAACAGAGCAGTTATGGTGGATATTGCAAAAATGAGTCATTGACTGTTTGGTATTTTTTATGAGAAATGCGAAATTATGTGTTAAATGGATTATTGGATTTGTTTCTTTTGATTTTTATGAACTAATTGGATGGTAGCTTGTGGAAGTTGTATTTTATAAGGTTATTGGTCAAGCAGTTAAATGATTTCAAGGCACAGTATTTGATTACCAGTTCAAATCCTAACATCTCTAATTAAGATATTTAAACCAGAGATTGATCAAGAACTAGAAGAACAATTTCTAATGGTAAGTCCCAAGTCTTTAGTACAACTCAAGTCACTCCATTGCAAGTTCTAAAATCAAAGATTCTTTAACAACTTTTAAGTCTTAGATACTCTCTATCAACATCCACCCACATCCTTCTGCAAATCTTCCGAATTTTGATCTAATACTACTTCCAAGGACTAATGCTACGTCTATATTTATTTTATAAACCTCATGAAAATATTTTTATAAGACAAACCAGTGCTTTAAGCTATTCATGGAAAGATTATAAAAAGCTTTGACCTTTTTTGAGGCAGCTCAGTATTTCCTCGAAATCTTTTATTATCATTCAATTTTAGCTACATGAAAATTCCTTAGTAAATTATTTGCAATCAAAACTCTTGTTTTATGTGAGTTTTTATTGAATTTTATCGTGACCTTATGTAGCTATCGATTAATATATGATAAGATAAGATTCATACAAAGTATTAAGTCAACAGTTCTGCTATACTATTTTGATAAGATACTAAGTGTCATTCAATTTTATTTTCAATTGATTATAAATCTATTGAATTTGATTTACTTAATTTAAATCATCTGTGGTTGCCGGTACTCTACTAGTAGCTCAATTTTTTGTTCACAAGTCTTAATAAATTGAAGAAACTTTTACTATAGATGAGGATGAGATGGAACTGACCACAAACCCCGTGGCAATACTTTTGTTTCTCTGTGCTTTAAAAAAGACAATTTTTTGTGAAAACTCAGACAAATGGAAAATCGAGGGCATTAAATTTTGTTCTTATCCCGAAGGTTGACCAAAAAAATAAAACAATTTAAACATTGACACTTTATTAATTTCCCCTCTAAAGCTTTCTAAGCTCTATCTAGCTTATGACCTTTAACTTAAATTTTTCACTCAAAATCCCGTAAAATATTCTCTAATCAATATTCAATGGATTATCAATAATCTTATTAAGTTAAATAATCACAAGCTTTTATTTATTTAAATAGCTTTACAACAAAAGCTCATTGAACAACTCACAAACTTTATCAATTGCCCCAAAAATTACCTCGAACAATCAAATCTAATTGAATGAAATGTGGCAAGCATGCAAAAAGTCAAAGTAAACATTTTAATGCTTAATTATTTTTCATGAAGTTTATTGAAAGCTATTGCGTGATTGAATCCATTATTTATTTATCCAATGATTGTTTTGTCAAGACCTTTGTCACTTTCCTAAACAATTAATTCTTCTTCTGTTAAATTTTCATTAATTCTTGTTATTTTTCTCTTTATCTCCTCTTTTGTCACTCGTTTTCAATTAATGAAATCTCAACAATGTATGGATTTATGGACTATATTGAATACGCAGTAGACATACATATAATGTATTGATAGTTTATATTTCATAAATTAAATGTATTTAAAGAAAAAAAAAAGATTGAATGAATAAATGTTAAACAATGTGATACAATGTAACGTCTCATGTCCATTACTGTCGCATATAATGGAATATAAATGGTATTGAAGGAAGAAAAGAAAAATGTTTTTGTTATTATCCGAAAAATACATCTCAATTATATTAAATTTTTATGAATATGTAAGTTGATCTTTCACATTATAATAATTTATCTTCGCCTTTATTTTCTAATGGGTTGGGAGTGTAAAGCTTAGACTATTCGAAAAGCTAAAATAAAGGTTTATTTGATAAAAAAAAAAGCTCTAGTAAGGTCCGATCTATTGATAATAGGTTAGTATTACATAGGAACGTAGCCTGAATGTATTCGAAATTAAAAAAAAAACAGCCTTAAACCTTTAGAGTTTTAGAGATAAAACCTTAAAATACTACAGAGTAAATAATATTCAGGATTTAAGATGGAAAAGTCCAATTGACTTGATTTCCTTTTTGAGATTAGCTTCAGCTTGGTAACTTGTTTTACGTCAATTAAGTTCAAACATTTTAACTTTCTAAACTTATAAAGTTTTTTAAGGTTTAGTAAAACTCAGACACCTTATGTGCCAAAGATCCTGGGTTCAATCCCAGGCCATGTCTAATTTTCGAAGCTCTTTTTCAATTTCACCGTTCTAGTTACGAAGCTCGGTTCGTGTGTTGGGTGTAGTATTGATATCTTTGGCATAGAATGTGCTTCCTTTGCTAGGTATACAAGGATATACTAGCATCTGGATGACTTCCTTACGGCATCTTGCGCACACGAATTGTGACTAGGTATATTGCAGGGTACATCAGGTCTTATGACGTACTCGTGTCTTTGCAATGTGCAGAGCTTGCAAGTGGTTCGGATCCCACTTTAAACTGTAGGTCTAAAGGTCATTCTAGTTTGAGTTGCAGTGCCTCCAGCTTAAAGTCTGGGCCCTTCACACATTATTATTATTATTATTAACACTCAGACACAGGGAACGGTGCAATAGATTCTATCATCGATCAGGATCGCAGTGCCTCAAGCATGTCGCAACGTGAAGACAGTAACACATCGCTTGGCTGGAACCCTCTCACATTATTATTACCACTAAGACAACCTGCAAACTTCTTTTTCTGAAAATTTTAATGCAGCGTTTCCACCTTGTAATCGACCACATGATGAGAAGAAATTTTTTTTATTCATTTTAGAAAGCTTCTGTGTAAGTTTGAGTACACAAAAGACTTCATTTAACAAAAAAAAAAAATGAAGAAAAGAAAAAAAGAGATCGAAAGGTCAAATCCATTGAATGTCGCAGCATAATACAAACAACAGCATAAACTATTTATTTTAATTTAATTAAGCTATTTTTTTTATCTTATTAAGGGAACGAGAAAAAATCATAAATCACCGACTGTCATTCGTTAAATGCTAAAGAAAATAATAAAAAAAGAAAAGACATAAAAAGGCTTGACAATGTTAACAATGTTGAAAGAGAGGTCGATTATGGACAAGAAAATCAGATTAAATTTGGCACGACTTGACGATTGATTTTTATGCTTTTCTTCATGCTCATGCCTTTTTAAAATATTTGTTGTGTGACAACAACAGCAAGGATCGCAAAAAATCATTTTTATATGTATAAAAAAAAAACAATTATTGGACTAAATATCGCAGACATATTGCCATTCCAGCTATTAAAACCAGATCGTCACACTTCAGTTGTAGTCAGTCATAATCCATTAACTGCAAATAATGACCATTCATATGCCTCATATGGAGCAATTAGCACCTTCGAAAAAATTGTTGTTATTACCGAAATGGGAGCCATAAGGAATTCTACACGTGGTATGATATGAAGCATTCAGCAAAGCTAGACTGTTTTTCTGAACTGGAATTATAAAAAGGTTGGTGTTAATTGGATGCAGTTTGGCTTTGGGTCAATATTGAGCTTGCGGTTGAATTTATTTTAAAACTTTTTGACTTACTGGATAAGTTTAGCGTCAAAACGGAGTCGGAGGTATTGAGCTATGCATGCCTCAGGGGTTTGAAGAGCCAGGAATTTGAAGAGGGGAGACAGAAACTTTTTTTGTATGGAAAACTATTAGGGGGGGGGGTATTTTTCGAGTTTTTCATAAAAACTCTAGCAAATTAAGAAATTTCTCAAGACGAAGGGGGATTTGTCCCCCAAATCCCCCCCACTGGCTACGCGCCTGGTAAACCTACCAGTGTAAAAGAAATGGTTCTGTGGCCGAAATGTCTAAAGATGACTTAAAATTTAAATTCTTTCTATAGAATACCGTGGGTTCGATTCCAACTAGAGACTTAACTTATAATCGTTCACAAAGACTGTTGGAAATACTAAACTTGGTCCGCTTAATATGTAAAACCTAGGTTTAGGTCTATGACAACTCTCATCCGTTCCATCTAACCCGCAAGCTACACAATCACTTAAAAAATCACAATGCGCCTTATCTGCCCCCCATTACAAATTTAAAATCCTACATTCCACTTGTTAATGTATTATTAACTAAAATTCAAGAGAAAGAGACCAAATATACGACACTTAATTGCTCTAATTACTTCACTAAGAAAAAAAAAGAGAATTTCAATGGCAAAAGGTGGCATTTAAAAAATTTTTTAATTGCGATAATTACAAACTTTTTAATTTTTTCCAACTTCTCTTTCTTTTTATTTTTTTTTATCTTCAACGATGGGAAAATTGTGAGCTGTTGAGCGCATGGAAAATATATTTTTTTTTCACTTCATAAATTTTTCATGTGCATGGAAAATTTCAGTGTTAAAAATTACACAGCCAAAGAATAAAGCACCACATCAATATGAATAAATTTACATGAAGTCAGTCAGAAGATTGTTTCTTTTGATGCCTTCACCTTGACACTATTTCCTTGCATATACAGATTGATCTTTTTGTTCTTTGTCTCTCTCTCGACTTCTGCTTATGTATAAGCATAGCATTTACTTCCATTCCAATCACAACATTACAGACGTCAAAGGTCTTTTTTTAATTGTTTTATCCAATTAGCGTCTGTTTGTTTCAATTACCATTCCCTTCCACGTTTCATTTGTTTCATTTATAATTTTTTTTTCTAGCGCATTTTTCTGTGTGTGGAGAATTTAAATGGATTTTCTTGTTTGCAGGTTTTGATTGGATTATGTTTTCTGATCGTTATTAATTTCAATGTTTCTGCTGGTGTTAAGCTTGCATGTGATCATGGATAACGAAAAATCGATTTTGTTAATTCCATTTTTTTTCGTTTGCGGTTGAAGAGTTGGATGGAATTTTTGTGGGGCTTTGGTAATGCAATTTGTAGGACTCGTGTTGAAATTTTCATTGAAACTTGATAATCTTTATGAGCTTAAAAGGACAAATTGGTTCTAGAAATATGGAATTGGAGATCAATTTTGAATGTGATTGAATTTTTGACATCAACTGTAAAATTATTGAGTCAAATGACGCAAACTTACTAAATTAAAAGATGCGAACATTTCGCATCAAATAAATTGCTTTTTGCTTCCTAGATGCAAAAATATCAAAATTCCACTTCGAAATCATTTAAAAAAGCCCAGAATATGAATATAAGCTAATTTCTTCACATTCCATCGCCATCCTCAACTTACTTCTCTCTCATTTCAGTTCACTGTGTGTTTTTTCTTCTGTTCCATCTCAGCTGCTTGCTAAACGACTATTATTATTGTCTTATGTGTATTGTTAATTGACAATTAAAGCCTTTTTAATATTATTTCTTTTTTCATCTGTTTCATTTTATGGATTAACCGAAAGAGAGCAAGCGGGACAGATACACAGAAATGAATCGAATTCATTATAAGAACTTTGAGATTTTATTTGATTGATAAACGAATTGTAGTCACATGCTTCATAATTATTAGTTGTTGTGGTTTTCCATATATGGACAACATAAATGATAATCACATAAGCGTTGATTGAAGAATTAGGATTGTAATGCCATTAATCAAATTCAAATATAGGAAGTAGTTAAAAATGAAATAGAGACTTACATTTGGATCATTAACTGCATTATCATCACTATCATCGCTCGTCGAGCCATTTTCATGGCTGTTAATTGGCGCTGTTTGCGGTGTTGATGGTCCAATGTAATTATTTCCACCGCCACTCATTTGCGGTGACATTTGTGGTTGAATTTGCTGCTGCTGTTGATGATGATTTGGTGCTTGTTGATGAGTTTGTTGTGGCTGTTGCATTATAAGCATTTGTTGATTAGGACTAGTCATGTGATGGAATGTAGAATGATTCGTTGGTGGTTGTAAATTATGAAATGTTTGATTTGGTGCCATCATATGAGATTCAGCAGCTTGTGGTGTCCATTGATGTTGATTGTATCCTTGTTGATTATTAATCATGCCACTTATTTGACCGTGCATTTGATATTGATTCAGTGGTGCCTGTGATGCATGATGGATATCTACTGGTATATCAAATTCTTCATCTCCAAATGATGGTGTGTGAAAGGTCTGCAAAAATTTCAAATAGGAAGCTTAATTAAAGTGAATCACGGAATTTGTTACATTCTAATATTTAATTAAGTTATCTGCTCTTGAATTGTAAATTGAAGGATTTTATTATTGAAATCTCATTATTTTACTGCCAACTTCAATAACCCCTGCCAATAAAAATATCTTTACATTACATTACTATTCATTAGTTAACAGGCAAATTTAATATATAACTTACACAAACTGACTGAATAATGGCAGCTTTAAAGGGTTAACTTATGCTTTGAGTAAGTTTAATCTGATCATTTTGTCTAAATTGTTAGTTTTTGCTTGAGTATTTATTGAAAATATTAAAGAGGTAATTTTTGGTACTTTGTGAAATGGTGCTGCCACATTTTTGTTTAATAATTGAAGAATTTTGATATGAGTAACTAAGTTAAAGGTTGATAAAAATATAAAAAACTTTTTCAGGTGATAAAATATGCATCCACGAAAAAATTGCCAAACAGAAACTTCAAAATTGAAATATTGAATTCTATCAAGCTTAATTGTTTAAATCAATTTGCAAATTTAATCAGTTCAGCAACATTAATAAAATTTATAAAATTTGAATAATCAATCGTTTATTAAAACTACGATTATTTTTATGATTACTCATCACTGACATGTTTTTTGAACTCATACTGTATTTTAGCTTTGTTCAAAATTATTTTAAATCCTAAAATTTCGTTACATTTGAATAAAAATAATTTCTTGATACTATTGATACGAAATTCTCTTTAATGTTAAAAATGCGCTTTTGACCTTAATGTCAATTGAGCTAAGCTCCAGAAATATCCAACACAGATAATTTATCATTAAACATTTATTATGTAAGGAAAAATAGATACAATGAAGGATTAGCGTCATATTATAAAGTCTCTAATTTTTCATCAAATATTCACTTTATTAAGCTCAAACTCAATACCATTATTTCCAATTTTACATTACACGCCAATTTCAAAGTCAATGGTATACATAAGAAAAAAGACTGAAACATAAAATTATGCATAAGGAGGCAGTGAAAAAGTCAAAAACTATATTCTATATAATTTCAGCGACCTTTTGCTAATAGCAATCAATTGTTATAATTTTTTCCTTCTTGTTTCTTCTCCACATGTACTTATGTTATTATAAACGATATAGCTACTACAGCTGCTGCAGTTGATTGCCATTTGGGAATTTAAGTAACTTTATACTTTTGCTATTAGTAATTGATGTTAATAATTGGATTGATTTGTTGGCAACAAAATGCAGTTAAGGAGCTGCAGTAATTGATGGATGAGGTTGAGTCAGGTTTTAGAATTCTCAGGAATTTTAGAACTTTTTTTTTAAGGAGTAACCTAAAATTAATTGATTGAGATAAGATCATAATTTATTAATAATTGCCATGCAGCTAGCCTTGAAATAATTATAAAGGAATTTAAATTTTTTTGGGTTCGGGTCGAGATTCAGCATTTGCAAGACATGTCAAAGTGTTCAATTTTGATTGCCAGCTCGACATTTAAAAGTCCATAAACTTGTTGATAAACAGCAATATGGCATATAATTTACTGACTCATTTATGCCAACTCAATCGAATGAGAATAAAGTCATGGTAATAAATTAAAATTGTCATACCAAAATCCTATCTAATTACATTGTATCTACACAATGTAGCTGAACTATTCCATTTATATCTTTTCCGTCACATTTACTCTCCTTTATCTAGCAATAGATAATCTCAATTCACTAAATTATCTCATAAACAAACTTCCACATATAGAGCTCTTGTTTACAAAAAAAAAAAAAAAAAGGAGAATCAAGCAATTGATCGAAAGACGTAAGCGCATTACTATTCTCGTGCAAATATATACCGCATTTTAAAAATTCAAATATTTAACGGATTTATGAAATTCAAATATTAAACGGAAATTTGATATTTAAAGGTTTTTAAAAAGGAGATTTTCTCACTTTGCAAGCAATGTCAGCCTCATTGACAAATAACAAAATTTATCTTTAAACTGAATATTGTCGAAAAGCTTGCTAAAAAGCAAAAAACATTCATAAAGAATTGCAAATAATGTCGCATTGAAGAACAGCGAAGAAAGAAAAGAATCTTTCACATTTAAATAATCAACTGATTACTTAAATTTATTTGCCTCGCGATTGTAAAGTAAGTAAGCATAAAGTCATCTGTCAAAATATTGTGCACATCAAGCGGCATCTCTTGACAACATTAAAGGCTCTTTATATTCCCCAAAGTGAATTATTTTCTTTCCATCTTGCTTTCTCTTTGATTCTCTCTTGTGTGTGTACTTCTGTATGTCTTTCTCATTTTTATCTTTTAGGGTTTGGTTTGCTTTGAAGTTTCCGAATTTTATTTTTGCGAAATTTTCGGTTGAGTTGAAATTAAATTTGAGAAATGGAATCAGTTATGATTGAATATGATTCTCGTTATTAATAATTATTCTCGTGGGACATTTCTGTTCCAATTTTAATTTTTTTTTTGCAATTCTTTGAAGTATTTTGCAATTATTAAATTAAGATGATCCCAGATTGTTCTTAATGGATTGGGGTTTAAATAGGGGAAAACTGAAGTTTTGATGCTTTATGGAGCCTGGGATTCTAGTGGTGTGATAAATTATCGTGACTGAAGGTAAGGATCCAAAGAATTAACTTCAAAACTGCATATACGTTGAATTTAAGTTCAAACCTAAGTTAGCTACAGCACGAGGGCATCACCATTATCATTTAAATCGCTCGGGTCTCCTGAACATCATTGCAGTTCCTTGAAATGCGCCTCAAGCCCCATCAATAACTTCCACAAACTTATTTATTTCATTCGCTTAATCACGAGCGAAAAAATGCATCAGAAAATAAAATTTATGGCACAATTCCGTGAATGAGAAATAAAGGGTAGAAAGAAGAAGATCTCGGCAAGGAGAGATAGAGAAGAGAAAAAAAAGGAAAAAGCATGAAAATTTATTAAATGCACTTTTTTATTATTTCGGTCTCTTCTCTTTTTTATTATGTCGCTTTTGCCTTTTTTCCTCGTTTTATGTATAGTTTTCGCTATCAATTTTGTTAAATCGAAATCAATAAATTACAACTTTAAAGAGACTTAGAGAAAGAGAGAAAGAAAGGAGAGACAAGTTTAATAAATATTTCTTCTTCTGATGTACTTTTTACACACACACTCGCACACATAAACAGAAAGACACAGACACACACACACATCGATTGAGAATTGATTGCTCTTTATTTCGATCATTCGCCGTTATTTATGCGCACATTTTACATTCATCTTCTGTCGATTGAAATGCAATGAAGAAAAATATAAAAAAATTTATAAGAATTGCATTTAAAAATCATTTTTCAGACTAATTTATTTATGGGCCATGAAATGGTGAAGGAGAGTTCCAATGGGTGAGAATCTTGCAGTCTTTTGGATTAATGTGGTTATGTAGTTGTATGCTGCATATTGTTAATGATAAATTTTTAGAACTAGACGTGATTGTTGTTAAGATAAGAACTTGACTTATCCAATCTTTGAGGTTGAAAATCTTAAATCAGCATACAGTGAGATGTTGTTAATACGGTAGCCATGCGGTATCTAGTATACTTAAAACCAAGTAGCAGCCGCAGAAACATGACATTGTAAGGCTTCCACATGAAAATGACTGCCAATTGATTTTAAATATCATACACTTTTTGAATCAATTACGGATGTTTGTGCAACAGACTTTTTTACCAGACTCAGCTCAAGCCAAAATTGCCCAATCCTTGAGTCCAAGAAAGAAAAGAAATCATAAAAAAAAATTTAACATAGTGAAATGCAAATAATCATAAAAATTTCTGTTGAAAGAATCAAACTGAAATAAAAAAGTTCTTTTCTTTGCAGAACAAAACAAGAGGAACGAGAAGCAGCAAAAAAAAAATCATAAATGTGAATGCAATAAAAATTTAAGGAGAAATATTCTTGGAATTAAAAAGGAAATTTGCATTTCGATTATTGCAGAAAAACTTTTTATTTTATTATTGGAAATCAATTTGGGTTAATGTTTATGTCGTTATGAATTTAGGAAAAGAGGAACATGTGGTGATTTTAAATTGAATTTTTCATTTAATGGTTCGGAAGAAACGTTCAGGTTCTTTGAAGATTTGTTCAATTTAGACAGTGGCTTAAGACCAAAAGTGTAAGCGATGGTTTTCTCAAAAGGACATTTTGGATATTGAGTGATCCAGTTCTCCTGGTTTTGATTTAATATACTAATATGAATAATGACCAAAATCAATTCAAATTCAAATCAATCTCAAATCAAACATTATTTCCACAAAAACTTAAACTGTCAAAAATTCTCAGTTAATGCATCAAATAAGTCACTTCCTCAAATAAACATACCCACAAGCATGACAATTATTTTATTCAGAAGTGAATAAAAACAAATATTTATAGCAATTTATAGCACCAATTTAAAACAATAACTGATAAGCCACAAAGATAAATAATGATAATGATGATTTTGTTTATTCATTCAGCTAGATATGAACTTTCAGGCTCCTTTTTGTTCTCGCTCAAATCACTCTCAGTTTTTATTTTGATTAAAGCGGATCTTTTAAATAATTAAAGAATAATTTTTGAAAGTCATGTTGGAATCAACTGATACAATTGTGGAGAAGAAGCGGAGATTTCCAAAATCTATACCATTTATACTCATTCTTTCATTACTTGAGAGGGTTAGTTCGATTGGAAGTAGTTGTGAGTAGAAAATTTATTTTAAAAATTGGAAATATGATTAGAGATTTGTGTGGTGGCTTCATAGTAGGGCGCAGAGCTTCAAATTTTTTGAACGGCTAGTCATTTTGACCTGTCAAGAAGGGTTGTCAAAATTTTTCATCTTTTAGAATTAAAACTATTTAGTGTGTCTGCAACCCCGTGATAGACTATCCTAATGCCAAAAGGAGGGCCAGGGTGTCAAACTTACTATCCCATCCTCCTTGATGATAAAATTTCTTCAACTGAAAAAGATAGTTTTGAAAAAAAAATTTCATCCCCTGAAAAAACTTGAAGCTTCACCCCCGATGAGTGCTAGATATCAACATTGTCAATTTTAAAACATATTAAGACATTAGTGAAAATATTATCAGTGATTATGTAACTTAGTGCATGCAAAATTCGCAATATCTCTTTAATATAGTACGTGCACATTCACATGTATTCCTACCTCCTACATTTCGATAATATTCTTGAATACCTGCTGTTATTTATCAAGTTGCATACAAAATTTATCGTTTTTCATTAGAAAAGCAAATTATAATGCATAAACTTTATCAGCTATTAGCGTCAATAAATTTCTTCGAAAACTAAGCATTTGTTCTAATTTGCAGCAATTCTTCTTCTGTATTTGTACACAAAACTGAATTTCGATCAGGCTACGTCAACCGCTTTATTTCATACAAATGAATTTCTTGCATATTTTTTCCCTATTTTCGGTGCAATAATTGCTGAAAGTTATTTTGGAATATTTAAAACTCTTTTGGCGGGTTCCATATTATTTTTTACTGGAACTGCAATTGTTGCCATCGGGGCTGTTGAATTTTTAAATCTTCCTGTCATGTGAGTTTTTAAATTTATTCATTTTTTCCGCAAGATGTTGCGCTGTCTAGATAAGAAATTTTGATTTACTTTCAGATCACTCACAATTTTTGGATTATTTATGGCTGTGGTTGGGATGGGATTTCTTCGTGGAAACATAACAGCTTTTGGTGGAAATCAATACAAGTTGCCAGAGGAGCAGAATTCCTTGCAGCTATTCTTTTCATATCAAATCATGTTCATCAAAGGTGGAGCTTTAGTGAGTCGAATTTTCAGTCCAGTTATGCGACAAGATGTAAAGTGTTTTGGGGCTAATGACTGTTATCCTTTTGCGTTTGGATTCACGTCAATCATGATGTTGTTGGCATTTTTGACGATTCTAGCTGGAAGACCATTTTACAGTCATCGAAAAGTTACAGATAATGTTTTTAAAAAGATTTGTGGATGTGTGATTTATAGTTTAAAGGAAAAGCTATTTATGGGAAGTAAGATCAAAAGGGATCATTGGCTGGATTATGCTGATACTCAGTATGAAAAAGGATTAATAGAGGATACAAAAAAAATTGTCAGAATTTTGAAGCTTTTCTCGCCTATTCCATTTTATTGGGCTGTATACATGCAACAGAGTTCAAGATGGATTTTTCAAGCTACAAGAATGGACGGTGATTTAGGATTCTATCAAATCAAACCTGATCAAATGATAGCATTTAATCCAATGTCTTGTATATTTCTAATGCCACTCTGCAACTACTTAATCTATCCATTATTGACTAAATTCAAGATTGGCGGACTTCTATCCAAAATTACAATTGGTGGATTTATATGCTGCAGTGCATTTGTCATCGCAATCATCATTGAACTTAAAATCCAAAATTCTGACCATCCAATTTCAATGTTATGGCTTGTTCCTCAATTTGTTGTCATTTCATTGAGCGAAAATTTCTTTTTTGTTGCACTTTTAAATTTCGCATACACCGAGGGACCTGCCAGCATGAAATCAATCATGACAGCGTGTGTCTTCACAACAATTGCCATCGGTAACATAATGGTGACGTTAATTAGCGGTGCAAAAATCTTTTCGTCTCAAGTTTACGAGTTTACATTCTTCCTCGTCATTTTATTTATTGCCGTTATTTTATTTTCGATTCTGGCTGCAAAATTCAGAAAATCGCAGCGTAATGAAAGTGCGACTTGTGTAAATTAGTGTTGCTTAATAAGATTTATGAATGTGTAAATATTTTTATTTTGTTGAGATAAATTGTTTAAGAATAGTCTGTGATTGTTAAAAATAAATTTGATGCTTTTGTACTTCAGAAAAGTCGCAATTGTTTTATTTTTAATTGACTGTGTCTATGGGTCTTAAACTAAGTTTGCCAGATCCTCCTAGATTTTAATATCCAATTTTCTACAATTTTTCAAATTCTTATTTCCAATTTTTTTTTTTAATTTTTCTTTAAATTTTTCAGCCATACTTCTCCTTTATATGTACCAAAAGCTACAATTTGACGAGTCAACATCAACTGCATTGTTTCATACAAATGATTTTTTGGTATATTTTTCTCCAATCGTGGGTGCGATAGTAGCTGAAAGTTATTTTGGAATATTCAAGATTCTTGAAGTAGGATCTTTGCTTTTTCTGACTGGAATTTTGATAGTTGCTATTAGTGCAGTTGAGGTTCTGGATCTTCCAGCAATGTAAGTATGATCTTAGGGGTTGTTCACATATTTTGGACCAAAAAGCTTTTTCCAAATTTAGTCTAGGGGCCATTCACTTATTACGTAACGCTTTTAGGGGGGGAGGGGGGTCTAAGATTTTGTTACGAGGGGGGGGGGGTCTAAAAAGTCATTTTTTCGCGTTACGTAATAAGTGAACAGCCCCCTAATCAATAAATGCTTTGACTAGTTATTCCACGAACCTAATTTTTTTGAGCAAAATATTTCTCTCATTCAAGACCATTAACAATTATCGGACTATTCATCGCTGTCTTTGGAGTTGGATGTCTTCGAGGCAACCTCTCTGCATTTGGTGGGAATCAATTTTTATTACCCGAGGATGCTCAAAATTTGCAGCATTTCTTCTCAGTTCAATTTATGTTCATGAATGGAGGAGCGTTGATGAGTCGAATTTTCAGTCCCATTTTAAGACAAGATGTGAAATGTTTTGGATCAAATGACTGCTATCCATTAGCATTTGGAATGACACTAGTTACAGTATTTATTGGATTCTTGACTTTATATGCTGGGAAAAGATACTATGTTCATCGACCAGTCAGTGATAATATATTCAAGAAGGTGTGCGGATGTGTCTTTTACAGTTTAAAAGTAAAATTATTAAGGCAAAGTAAGGAGGCAAAAAGTCACTTGCTGGATTATTCAGAAACTAAGTATGAACTTAAACTGATTGAAGACACAAAGAAACTTTTCAAGATATTAAAAGTTTTCATTCCAATTCCAATTTTTTGGTCAGTTTTTATGCAGCAAAACTCTCGATGGGTCTTTCAAGCTGCAAGAATGGACGGAGACATTGGATTCTACACAATCAAACCTGATCAAATGATTGCAGTCAATCCAATATCATCAATCTTATTATCTCCAGCCTGTAGCAATTATTTGTATCCACTGCTGACAAGAATTAAGCTTGGTGGAATGCTCGCAAGGATTAATATTGGAAAGTTCTTGTGCTTCATCGCATTTTGCATTGCGATTTATGTCGAGACAGTAATTCAAGAACATCGAATATCTGTGATGTGGCTTGTTCCTCAATGGATTATTTTAGCATTAAGTGAAAATATCCTTTATGTTGCACTCATGAATTTTGCATACTCTGAGGGACCAGCCAGTATGAAGTCTGTACTGACTGGATGTGTTTATGCAACAATGGGAATCGGGAATCTTTTAGTGACATTGATTAGTGGTGCTAAGATGTTTTCTTCACAAGTTTATGAATTTATGTTTTTCAATGTGATTCTGTTGGCTGCTATGGGCGTGTTTTCAATTTTGGCAGTGAATTACAGAGCTTCACAAAAGATGGAAACTACATTATAAATTTGAATTATGAACATATTGATCAGTGGTCCTTTAACTATGCTAGGTGACACTCAATCATATTTTAATTGATAATGTGTAATAAAGTAATAAGGAAGTATGTTAAGGATCTCAAGGCAGTGGTTCTCAAACTTTTTACTGTGACAAAATAACCACATTTTTATTGAAATTTGATTCTTCATCATCCATTATTTGTTTTGGTGACCTATTAGACTATCACGGACCAAAGTTTGAGAAGCACTGTTCTACAATATCCATCACTCTCATAAGGTATAAAAGTTTATATCCAGAGTTCGATTATCATGCATAATAACAATTTTGATATGATTCATGTCACTAATACTCGAAAATTCATTGAAATAGAAATAAACAAACAATAATAAGTGTCAATGTGCACATTTTTGGTTACTAGAAATTTACTGTTAATTTTATATTTAAACATTCGCAACACTCACTCTGAAATCCGTAAATCAGACATTAATATGTATACAACACCACTTGCAGTAGTGGAGTAAGGAGAAAGGCATCTGAGCATTTCAGCAAAAATAAAAACTGTAATAAATTTAATTTTTGACGCTTTAAGAATCACCAAAAAACTCTCTGCTCCGGAACTGTTTGTCTGGTTCTCTTTTACTGATGATGCTTAATACAAACGAGTTATAGACTTTCAAGTTTTTTTTTTCTTTATGTTTACATTTTTTTTGCCTCTTAAAGAGCCATTCGCTCGAGCCATTCACAGTTTTTATTTTGACGACCATAGCGGTGTGTAGAATCTTTGTGTATTTATAAGAAAATTAAAGATTAGAATCATGATGGTTCCTATAAATGCAAGTGTGGAAATGAAACGAAAATTTCCGAAATCTATTCCATTCATTCTCGTTCTATGTTTGTTGGAACGAGTCAGTTCGATTGGAAGTAATTGTAAGTGAAATTGGAAGTTTTTGGATGTGAATTGGCTGATGTAATCTGTAAAGTAATTTTGAAATTTGCTTGAAAGAGCTTTTAACTGCTGGTTAAGCTAGAGTTCTTACTATAAGACATGAATATTTGAATATCAATAGAGTCTTATTTTTATTTGGACTAGAGTCTATTTTTGATTTATTCTTGGTATTAAAATTGATTGAAATTTTAAATTTTGGAACTTGAGTATCTCAATCTAATAATTCCAACTTCCAGCAATCCTCCTCTTGTATCTTCATCACAAACTAGAATTTGATCAATCAACATCGACAGCCTTATATCATACAAATGAGTTCCTGACTTTCTTCTTCCCTATCATTGGTGCTGTCATAGCTGAAAGCTATTTAGGAATTTTCAAAACACTTTTGGCTAGTTCATTACTATTTTGTATAGGAACAGGGATCGTTGCTATTGGTGCAATTGAGTTGTTGCATCTTCCTGCAGTGTAAGTAGATTTTTAGACCAAATTAATCAAGATGGCGCCATATAGTCTGGATAACAAGTTTCATGTTAATTTCATTACAGACCACTTACATTTCTTGGTTTATTTATGGCTGTGTTTGGAATTGGATGTCTTCGTGGAAACATCACAGCATTTGGAGGCAATCAGTATAAATTACCAGAAGAATCGCAAATCTTTCAACTTTTCTTCTCGCTTCAAATTATGTTTGTGAAAGGTGGAGCATTGATGAGTCGAATTTTTAGTCCAGTTGTAAGGCAAGACATAAAATGCTTTGGAGCAAACGATTGCTATCCATTAGCATTTGGATTGACTTTAGTTACGATGTTTTTGGCATTTTTGATAACTTTAGCAGGAAAGCCATTTTATGTTCATCGTCCAGTCAGCGAAAATATTTTTATGGAAGTTTGTGGCTGTGCCTTTTATAGTCTGAAGAAAAAGATGTCAAGAGGAAATGAGGAAAAGAAGAGTCATTGGCTTGAATATGCTGAAGACAAATATGAGCCACAATTGATTGAAGACACAAAGAAAGTTTTTAAGATTCTGAAAGTTTTTATTCCAGTTCCGATTTTCTGGTCAGTTTATATGCAGCAGAGTTCAAGGTGGATCTTTCAAGCTACAAGAACAGATGGTGATCTTGGATTCTATACAATCAAACCAGACCAAATGATAGCGTTGAATCCTATATCATCAATTACTTTAATTCCAGTCTGTAATTATGTCTTCTATCCATTACTGTCCAAAATTAATCTTGGCGGTTTGCTTGCAAGGATAACGATTGGTGGGTACATATGTTTCACTGCATTTTGCATTTCCACTGTTGTCGAAGGAATAATTCAAGAGCACCGGATCTCAATGCTATGGTTGGCACCTCAATGGATACTTGTAGCTTTAAGTGAAAATTTCTTTATGGTGTCAGTCATGAATTTTGCTTACACCGAGGGACCTGCTCGTATGAAATCAGTCATGACAGCTTGTGTCTACACAACAATCGCAATCGGTAACATTTTTGTGACACTAATTAGCGGTTCAAAGATCTTTTCAAATCAAGTTCATGAATTCATTTTTTTCCTTACTATTTTATTTTTTGCAATGATTTTATTTGCAATTTTGGCGATGAATTTTAGAAAGTCGCAAAGTAAGGAACGAGATGATGTTGAGAATTAGACTTAAGGATTTTAACTTTTTTTTTGGTGATAGACTTAGTGATTGCTTGTAACAAGACATTAGAAATTAAGAATTTAATTGAAATTCTATAAATTTACTCTGTGATTGATAGAAATAAAATTTAATATTTTTATATTCACACCGTTTTCACGTGTGCATCTATTGGTTTTGTTCAGATTGAAAAATCAGTTTTTAGAATTTTGTGAGGATATGGAGCAAGATAGCTTAAAATGTTCAGAGATTAAAAGTTTGTGCCTTGAATTTCACATCTTTTGCAAAAAACAGATTTCAAATTGGTTGCGGCATTGCTGAGAAAATCGCAAAATATGCTTTCTGTAAGCAAGCAAACAAGCAAACAAGCAAGTTAATCAGCAAGAAATCTCAATAACGAGACATCGTAGAGACTTCTAGTTTTTTACATTTGATCCGTGCTGCTCTATAGAAGAGCTGTATTGTTTTTGGGCAAGGTAGGAACAGCCATTGCTTCAGAAAAAGCAAAAAACTTTCCTTTCTTACGAATTTTTCAAATTAAAAGTTCACTGTGATTTTTGAGCAAAGAACCAAGTAGGAAATACATTTTCAATTTTGGACTAGGGGCGACCCTAGTCAAAATCAATTTTGTCACTTTTTTCTTCGAGGGTTTATACAAATGGATTGAAACTTTTTATAAATATTCTAGTGCTTAAAACAAATACAAATAAAACATCCTAAAATTTTTTTGAGCAAAGAACCAAGTAGAAAACTAGATTTTGACTAGGGTCGCCCCTAGTCCAAAATTGAAAATGTATTTCCTACTTGGTTCTTTGTTCAAAAAAATTTAGGATATTTTATTTGTATTTGTTTTAAGCACTAAAATATTTATACCAAGTTTTACTGTATTTGGATTTATCCTCGAAGGGAAAAAAGTGAAAACGAGATTTTGACTAGACCTGTCCCAAGTTCATAATTAAAAATGTATTTCTACTTGGTTCTTTGGTCAAAAAAATTTTTTGGATATTTTATTTGAATTGACATAATTCTGACATAAATCACATGCCAATATTACTTTTTGTAATGCATAGCTTAAAAAAAAAATGAAATCTAAAATTTCGACTACCCCATCTGAATTTTGTTCATACTCTTCACTGTGGAAACCAAAAGTCAAATTCTTTATCTTAAAACACTTGACAAAATAGCAACATAATTCAGGATTAATTACTTTTTAATAATATTTTAACATTTACGAGAAAATGTGGTTCAAATAAGTGTGAAGTATGGCCGAGATTTGGACCAAAATCAGCTATACTGGTTCATAGTGTTCCCGAGGGTGACAAAATTCAAACTAATTTTTTTTTGGTTTTTTAATTATTTTTTTTAAGGAAGATTACAATTTTCTGTATTTACTGATAAGGTTTGGACGCCCTTGGTCGTCGTATGCATTACAATCATAGTCACACATAACGACAAGATAAACTTCAGAACTGCACCTGTTTCTATTTTCTTAAAAGTCCTAAGAACACGTTAAACAAATATGATTAAATCGCATTAAATATTCCAAACAATTTATTTTATCTCCTCTTCCACATTCTCATTAAGCTTGTTATGCATGCACAATCTGCACTTGCATAGATAATACCACAGACAATAGAATCCTCTTAATTACTCTCTGATATTTGCACATTTCTTCCTCTTTTATCAAAGATAAATTGTGTTTCACACCATTTTTTATGCGTTCTGAGTTTTATTCTGTTTTTTATGCTGTACTTGTAACTGTCTGCTGTATTAGCTAAAGTTCATAAATAGTTTACAGAAAAAATATTTTTTATGTGTTTTCATTTTCAACTTTTTTTGTTTTATAAGAGAAAGAGGAAAAGAGAGAAAAGGAATTGAGGAAAAGTGAGCAAGATGAAGACTGATGTGGACCTATGCGCATTTGGTCTGCAATCGATAAATGTAGAGTTTAGGAGCTTAAATTGTAGCCAAGATATTGTTTTGTTGATTATGATTAGACTGTTCATACAATCATATTTGAAGCTTTAGAAAATGTTCCTGAAGGCTTGAGCTTTCAAAATAGAAATGGAATCATCATAACCACCCAAAATGACACAAAATCCACATCCATTTCTTCGAAAAAACATCACTAAAAAGTTAAAGACATGAAAAATAAATTCATTTTTATTGCATTTGCATCGCGCCATTTCTGGTTAGTTATTTATGAATAAGCGCACACACATACAAAAGGAGAGCATCATAGCTATGTACAACATATAACAGAAATCGAATAGAATATGCATCTTGAGCATTGCGACAATAAATTCCTAAATACGCGACACATAAGAACAAATAAACATCTGACTGCTTCCCTGACCGAGCATTCAAACAGCAATTTATGTGCGTTCTTCCGCTTTTGTATGCAAATTTTTTTTTTATTTATAAATTTTTAATTTATGGTTTAATTCTTTGTTCCATTATAAATTTATTAATTTCCTACGAAAATTATTTCTCATTCAATGCCATTTTTGTGACATTAAAATAAAATTTATTTATTTATTTTTTGTTTATTTTACAAACTCCATCAGACATTTATTGCCTGCCTTCAATATGCTTTAGTATGCACGTGATTGTCTGTTGGAAAGGAGGTAGGAAAATGTCAATAGAATTGAGTTATGATATTTTAATAAAGGGATTGGAAGTTGGTGGTGAATTGGAGTAGTTTGTGGAGGTAAATATAGATTTTTTTTGGAATGTCAGCAGATAAATTTATCTGAGACTATGAATTAAGCAGGCAATCATTCTTATTGAGGATATTAACAAAGAAGTAATATTTTTTAATTAAATTATCCTGGATACCTCCATAAAGCATTAAAGTCTAGAGAACATAGGAGCAACAAGAGAACTTCCTTAAGATTTACAAACTCAGCGCCAAACTCCTTTCATGTTGAATTTTTAACCTTCATGATGCGATGTGCCTCACAATTCAAAATTAAATGGTCCATCCTACGATTTGATTTCAGACGTGAGTTTCTTGGTACCTTAGACAAACTAGACAATAATGAAGAGTGAATCCTAAATTTCCTGCAATGTTACCCACAAATCACAGATACAAAGCAATCAAGCCATTTCAATTCTGTAATTTCGTAATTGTCATCCATACACACACAAAAAATCTGCAATTGAGATTTTCATCCTCATCTGGTTGAGTCAGTCAATACAAAAAAACAGAGATCGAAGCCGATTCTTTCGGCTTAACTCAATTTTTGATTTTTTTGATAGAAAAAAGCCATTTAACACCCATTTTAAGTATTTAAATTGAACTTTACATGTTTTACTATGATTCTGTGTAATATTTTGTCAGCATGAAGCTATAGTAAGCTCAGAATTTCAAGTTAGCCGATTTTAAGCCGATCGGCTTAAATTTCGGCTTAACATTCTTTAACTTGAAATTCTGAGCTTACTATAGCTGCATGCTGACAAAATATTACACAGAATCATAGTAAAGCATGTAAAGTTCAATTTAAATACTTGAAATGGGTGTCAAATGGCTTTTTTCGATCAAAAAAATCAAAAATTGAGTTAAGCCGAAAAAATCGGCTTCGATCTCTGCAAAAAAATATATTTGTCGTCCATCGTTGATGACGATTACGATGATGATGACAATCATTTGACGAGGAAAAATCTCGTCAACTGACAATACAAGTACAAAAATAAAAAAAGGTCAAACAAATAGAATTAATGGAAGGCATTAAGTAATCAAATCATTTCAGTTGATTACGTAGATATAACAGAGTGGGAGAGAGATGGAGAGAAGAAGAGAGAAATGGAAAGAAAATTCCATGGTTAATTATATTATAGAGACAAACAAAAATAAAATGAAATTTGTTTTTATAACTTTTTTTTTCTCTGTTACTTTACAAACAACTCATTAAGCTTTATTTCTGAGGCTCTTGACCGTAGATAATTCTTTAATTCATTTAGCGCACTTTTCGCTTGATTGATAATTTGATTTACTTGTGAGAAAAATTTCTTTGTATTTTTTAAACCCGAGTTTTATATGACTTTGGATAGTGATCTTACTAGGCATTAATCTACCTAAATCATCACCTAAGATTACTCAAGAGATTTTCTTATTAAATTTCCTTTGCTAGGTATACAAGGATGTAGCATCTGGATGACTTCCTTACGGCATCTTCGCACACGAATTGTGATTGCAATTCACATCAGGTCTTATGGCGTACTCGTGTCTTTGCAATGTGAAGAGCTTGCAAGTGGTTCGGATCCCACTATAAACTGTAGGTCTAAAGGGTGTGGTACAATAGATTCTATATGAATTGAATCGAAGTGCCTTCAACTAAAAGGCTGGGCCCTTCACACATTATTATTATGAAGTTGACATTTTACATACATGTACTCCTCGGGCAAGCTACAAATGATTTGTTCATCATTAACCAACTGAAGTCAGTTGAGAAAAAAAATTGTAAGTGCTAACCATAACTAGTCATAAGCTTTTATATGTAATGACATTCATTACTCCTATTTATGCATAATTACTGTAATAATTTATGCTTCATTTAAACTGATTTATTTTACATGTGTTTTTTTATAATTTAAATGCGCTCAAATTAAGTGCATTTTGTTGTAATTTTAAAACTTGTTCTTATTACTCTTTTATTTGTTGATCTTTTCTAAGCCAAACTACTTTTTTTTTCAACAAAAATGAATTTTTAAGTATTTCTTTTGTAGGTTTTTAAAACATTTATTTTTTCTTGAACGATTCTCAGTTCTTCTTAATTTGTTTGTTTAAGTGCTTGGAAATTGAAATGTTTATTTTCGAGTTAACGAAATTTTAATGCATTTGATAATTGAGTATTTGAAGATAAATTTCAAAACCATTTTTATGTTGATAAATTGTGGATTTTTTTGAGATTTAAATTTTATCAAATTGAAAATTGATTTGTACGAAATTTGTAATTTTTGAAACATTCAAAAGGATTTAGATTTTATTTAAAAATGTTCAAACCAGAATCTGATTATTTCCGATAATATTTAAATTATCTTTTTCGAAATAAATATTCTAAATAGTCCCGATAAAATAAACTTCAAATTATTTCAAATTAAAAATTAAGTTTCAAAGACTATCCACAAAAATTAAACTTGTTCTATCATAACCAGTTCAAAAATCCAGTCAAACGAGTCTGAATAACCTTTAATCTCACAACTCGTAAATAATTTACCAAAAACATTGTGCATCTGACAATGCCACAATTAATAGTTACAATTAAATAACTATAATTACAATTTGACCATCCTTTAATTACCAACAAACCTTAAATTTAACAACAGTAACCTCAAAAATATGTCTAAGGCAATAATAGACATCAAAAGGGCAATTAACCTTGTTAGTATTACAATTACAGCATGAAATAGAAACAAACTTACATGATCGCTCATTGTTGCACTGTGATATTGATTTGTGATTGATTGCTGTTGTCCACTATTGAATTGTTGCAGCTGCTGCTGATGTTGTAGTTGCTGTTGACCTTGTACAGACAATGAAGCATTCAAATGTTGGTCGTCACTCTGTAAAAAAATATAAAAAAGCACCAAGAAGTGGAATTAAAATGACAGAAAGTAATGAAAACAAAAGTTTTCGATGCTATTTTTTTTTTGTTGGTAAACTGCATCATTTAGGAGCAGCGGAGAGTGAAAAAAGTTATTTGTTTCTTTGTTTCTATTAATGAACCTTATAATTATATAAAAAGTGGGTAAGAGAGAAGTTTCTTCCACTTAATCATAACTTAATTAACTTTTTTTTCCTTCCTTTATATCAAAACTTTACTTCTTCTTGCCTCATCATAATGTTAACTTCCGTTGTCTCTAAATTGAATCCTTTCTTTTTTTTATATAAGTTCTCTCACTTGCTGTGCATTCCAAACAGTTTGCTTGGTAGATTTATTTTGATGATTTATTGGAAAAGGCGCATTTATTGGAATTATGGGAATTATCAAGAATTATGTTTTAAATCAGTTGAAAACTTTTTACAATTTAGAAATTAATTAAAAATTGAATTCGGAATCTTGAACATAGTAAAAGGATACAGAACACTTAAGCAACTCGAGTCGACTCAGGATTGACTTCAACTAATCGACTTTGATCTCTAACTGGATATATGTAACATAAATCTTTCAAAAAGAAATAAATTAAGTAGACAAAATGTCAATTATTACTTCATAATTCAGTAGCTTTATCGTCAGAGTATTCAACTGCTAAGGAAATAAAACAAGTTCGATACCCATCCATAAATAATGAATTCTATCTCTTATCTATTATTTTTTTGATGAAGTTCTATTTTAACTTAGATTTACTTACAAAAAAAGCTAGCATTAAGCTAGTCATACAGTTTCATCATTTGTATTAGACCAAACTGAAACCACAAAACCAATTTTTCTTCAAAAAACAATCAAAAACTTTTTAACTCACCACAGAAGCGCAACACAAAATAGAAAAAAATTCTCATTAAAAAATTGCTCCTTTTTTTAAGTTTTTTTTATGCAGGAAAGAAGGAGAAAAACTTTTCAGCACAGTTTAAATGAGAGGAAAGAGGAGGCAAGGGAGGAGGTGCAACATTGTATGCAGCATAAAATTATATTTCTATTTTCATTAACTTTTAAATGATTCCGTTTAAACCCAATTTTTGATAAATATCGCCAAAAGATTAATTTTCAACACATTAATTGTGATGGATCATTTTAAAAATTAAAATTGCATTTTTTTATTCTTCTTGGAATTTTTGGTTTTTGTTCGTCAAAGAATTAGGAAGAGAAAATAATAAAAAAAAAGATAAAATTTTTTTTAGAGCCACGAATGAAGATTAAACGATGTCGAAAGAAGCACGTAAGACAATCAATCATCATCAAGCGACCCACAAAAATTGATGAAGTTTTAATTTCTCAAAAAAATACTTCTTGACCTTAACTGAACTTTTTTGGCTTGAGAGTAGATTGTGTATTTGATGGGTGCATTTTGGGAGTTTTAAAGGCTTATTAAGTGATGTTTAAGAGTTTATTGCATAATCAGACTCATCAAAGTGATGATTGCATTGATATGACAATCAAGAAGACTAAAATTAGGCATTAAAAAGCGTGCAAATATGTCCAGAGCTTGTGCTATTCTAGAGCTATTCAGGGGTAACCCACTACAAAGATCTTGACCTAATAGATGATCTAAATCAAATTATTGTATGTATTTCTGTATGGCTAACCCAAGAAGCTTTTGGCACTGCATTTTCATTATAGAGATTAAATCATTTAATCTGTAAAGATTCAAACTCACCTAACCACTGATCTACCAACTATCTTCAGCTTTCAGTCCTACCTAATGCGCTTTAACAGTTAAATTCCAAATAATTGCTCCTCTTACTTTTCCCATTCCCCTTTTCTCCACGAAAGTTGAAAGACAAAACTTGCCAAGACGAAAGAAGATTTTTCTTTTCTTTCTCGTCTTTCTACTGAGAAATGGCCCCGAAGGTTAGCTCTAATAATGACTCTACATTATATAATAATTTATAGCTAGTCTTATTATGTCATGTCCCACGCCTTTTACATAATTCTATTTTAACAAATTCACAATTTCTTCTTGTTACTATTTTTACAGCCTTAGCGAAAAAAAAGTATTGAAAAATTATTGAGACGAAGAAAAATGATGACAAATTAATGGATGGATGAATGGATAGATGGATTAAGTTAATTGATTTTGTGTTCTCATTTGATTGGCTTTAATGACTTTAGAATAATTGATGGGCACTTAAGTTTAGTTGAGGTGGATTTAAGAGAAGTAAGTGCTCGGTTGATGTACAAAAATTTGTTTTGGAATTTTTGATGGCTTAACCTTAAATTATTCAGTTATAAACTAGAAAACCCTCGCGAAACTTGAAAACTGCAGATTTTTTAAGTCAAATGTTGAATACAGTCCCCAAAATATCAGTTCCATGAAATAAAACTGAAAACTTCTGAATCGACTGTCTCGGTCCTATGTACATCTGATGTAGCCCTCATATTGACTCTAAAAATCTAGGTCAATCTAATCTCTTACTAATTAAGCAAGAAAATTATCCCAGAAATTCAATTGGAACTACTATGAATTCCAAAATGCCCTTAAGTGCCACCACATCTACTTTACTTAAAAATTAAATCGATTTCAATTTCAATCCATCAAATTTTCTAGTGTAAATGAGCCCGGAAAAATACATCAAAATTATGCATAATTATCTGATTTTTTTCTTCTTAATTATCGCTGTATTTTATTAATGATGTATATATAGCATGCATGAAAAAAATGTTGGCCCTTATAATTTATTAGATAAATTAGCAGGCTCATTAATTAAATGAAAATAATTCTCTAAATAAATTCCAATTAAAATTATTTTCTTGTCTGTTTCGAAATGTGGGTTTTGTATAGTTTTTGTGGTTTGTGTGCAGTCTAAATTTATTTTGAAGCATTTCGTATAAAAAAATTGATAAAACTGCTATTGCCAAGTTTCGAACCGCTAAGTTGATTCATTAAAGTTATAAGGTTTTAATCAATCCAACCTATGTGTTAAAGCAATTTAGACCAATTTAAGACCTTTGGCTTAAATCCATTAAAAATTGATCATCCTTATTAAAGATTCCTCAAAACATTAAAATTTCAATCATTTCAAACATTAAAACTATTTTCCTCGTCAAAAAGGTCATCACTACTCAAAACTTATTATTTCTCACAATCTCAATACAACTCAACAGTTATCATAATTTTTCCAGTCTGCAAATTGTCATGCTTGACCAAACGTCGACTTCCAGTTCTTTCAAATAAAAATTAAATCCAATTGAAAGCCATACAATGAAGTGTATCTAAAGCAGGTAAGAAATATAGCTTATTATAGATCATTAATATGAATCTAAGTGTATGTTTGTCTGTATATGCTTATTTAATTATTCAATTACATCTCAACATCACGAAATTCAATATTTGTTAATTACCGTTATAAACTTTAAAAGTAGAAAAAGAGTGAGAAAAAAACTGCAGAAAGATTAAGTAAAGTGAGTTAAATACAAACATTACAGCCGTAAAACATGTTTTCTAATTAATGAAATGAAGCCAACACTAATTAATGGCAACAACAGCTAACAAAGAAGAATTGAAGCATAAATCTCTATCGTGCAATATTGCAATTGTAGTTTATAACGGATTTTTATAGAAAACATGTGTGTAGTTTGGGTTGATTTTGCTGTTTGAGTGTCTTCTTGCAGAAAGACAGAAGATTTTATGCATAGCTCAGCTTACTGTGTCTCATGGTTGGTTAAGGCTGTTCGGTATTAAGCTAATTTGAGAAACTATAACATTTCGTGCTTTTTTGTATTGACCAGGAGCTGGTACTTTTGGTAAACCTTAGCCATGTATTCTGGTAAGGCAGAAGGTCGACTTTTAACTCTTGTGCTGATTTTGTACTTTATTTTCCAACTATAAAAGGATAAAATAAAGTCAATGATCATATTAATGATTGATTCATATAAAATGGATCATACACCCTTGCTCTGTTCCTACATAGTTTCAAAACTCCATAAGTCTTATGAATTCTTAGGGTCGAGTACCTTTTGTATACTCTAAGCCACATCTATTGCATCTAGTCTTTACCCCCTCAAATATACATCATTTATAGTGCCGAACTAACTTCTGGTCAAGAATTATGTTTTCAGGTTTAAGTATTAGAGTCTAGTGAACTAACATTCTATTATTTCAGACATGCGCTTAGCTAGCTCACTCGACTACCTCCATTACTTAAGTCGATATAAAATTCAAGCTGTATCACATAAAAAAGTCTCTTGAAAAGTGGCTCAGCTGTTATAACAGCAAGCAAATAGTAGACATGAGACAGGAAAAGCTCTCTTTTTTTTTCAAGTTTGTCAAGTTTGCACAATGAGCAGCAGCACAGCACAGAAGATGAAGAGTGGAAAAAAATTAATAAATTAATAATCCGTCATGTAATTAATTAAAATGTAATTTTTCATGTAACTTTAATTTAGCATTTTGCTGCCGTTTTTCACTTTTTTGCATTTATTATTTCAAGTTGCATAAAAAAACAGCCAGCACCAAGTCTCGGAAGGAAGAAAAAAAATGAATGTCTTTTCATAAGCACGTCTCATTCATTCTCGTCTGACTGTTGGTATGAATTTAATTAAAACAAACAAGTTAATTTGTCCCTTTTTACAGTCATCAGTTTTCTCTCCTTTCACATCTTCATCATTCTTACCAGCAATAAGCGACGTACAGTCAAATAAACCACAGTAAAATGACTCAGAATTATTCACATATGTGCATGCATACGTAAATGTATTTGTGGATGGATGTAAAAAAATTGAGAGACTACATTGCAGAATATTTTTATGATGCAATTTTATGCTCGCTTTTTAAGGCTCATTTATTTTTCATTTATTCTTTCAATTACTTCGTCATCAACCGTACATACAGTCAGATTATACATGCATACACACATCTATATTTTAAATTTAATATGTCAACCATGAATATAACAAAACATAAAA